TCTCCCTGACCCTCCAAGTAGGGACTGGGGTTTAGGGATGAGGGTTTAGGATTTAGGGATCAGGGTTTAAGGGCGTAGGCGTTAGGCTTTACGTGCTCAAACCATAAACGCCAAATTGTGAATCTTGAGCCCTGCACTCATAAATGCGAAGCCAGAGATCATCCCAAACTTCAAAACCCTAAGCCAGAATTCCTATACCCTAAACCCTTAAGCCACTGAGCTCTGATCCAGAAAGTAGGAATGCTGCACAGTTCCTCCTATTTCCATATTCAAATTGGGTGGCACGTCCTTTACACCTAAAGCCGAAAGCCTGGGACCCGAATCCCTCAAGCCTAAACCTTCTAAACCCTTCCCCAAAAGTCCCCTGAATATACTTCCCTAGCAAGCCTTTTGCAGGCACAAGCCTTCCGCGAAGAGGACGAGGTGGACCGGCAGCTGGACCGCCAGCGGCGGGAGCTCCGCGATGCGAACGGAAACCCTGACTACCAGGCAAAAGGCTTCTATGGTGCTAGGGTTTTTTAGGAATATATGGGGAATCATATTTAGGGTTTGAGCGATTTAAGGTTTATCGTGGGTAATTAGGGTTTAAAGTCTACGGTTTGGGAGTTTAGAGTTAGGGTTGAGGTCCTAGGCTTGCGGGGTTATGGCTGCCGTCAAGGGTAAAGGTTCCGGGCATGGAGATTGAGGTTCAGAGTTTGGGGGTTTGGGGGGCTTAGGGCCTAGGGGATTGGGATTTGAATTTTCGGACTTGGAGGCTCTGAAGGAGACGGATTCTAAAGAGCCCGATCTCCTGATAGCTTCCCTTTTTAGATAGAGCGCTCTAGCATGTTATGGCATAGTCTCTGTTGAAGGATTTGTTGCAGTTGAGCGTTTTTGGAAGTAGCTTTTGTGGCGCTTTAAGTGCTTGGGTGTATAATTAGGGACTTCGTGGAGGGATCTTTTTCTTGCATAGGGCTCAATTAAGTCGGAATCATGCAGGGATATAAAGGTTTCTGAAGCAACCCAAAACCCTTAAACCCTAAACTACAGCGTGGGTCCTTGTCTTGGGGCTTTTTTAGTTGAGTGCTTTGGTATATAGTCTAAACTCTTGAAAAGGGGGTTATTTGGGGGATTATATAGGGGAGTACTACAGGGATGATTAAGGGGGATAGTAGAAATTCAGACTACAATCTTGCAATGGAGGTTTGTTTGCAGAGAGATATTCAACCGCATAGCGATCTGAATCGGGAAAAGAGTGGAAGCTTGCCAGCGATTAGTCTGTTTTGCAGCTTCACATTGTGCATTGTGTCACCAAAAACAGCTGCGCAATCGGACAAACTTGTCTTAGATCTTTTTTTGAAGCCTTGAGTCATGCACCACGAAACCCTGCAGACAGTCACTATGCTAGATGCGATGATCATAAACGGTAAGGGACAAGACACAAATGGTATGATGAACTGCCCAAATCCTGCATACATGTTTCCGACACGCCAAGTTCCAGGCATTAAGGCTCTGCGGTACTAAAGCCCTGACATATCAAACCCTTGTATATCTGCATAAATACGCTCGTGTACTTCTAGCTTCATTCGAAAATCTCTCAAACCCTGGGCTCTCAATCTGAAACAAGATGTCCTCTGGGGTTAAGTGGTTACTTTGATAGCCTTTCTGCAAGGCCTAAATAGTAGCCTCCACTTTCTCTTCCATCTCTATACCAGGATCCCTATATGTTTCCTTCGATGCCTTATATGCACCCTCTGTATCCCTATATATCCCTATACATCATTCCCAAACTGAAGCGTAAGCCCAGGGGTTGGGTTTTACCGCACTAGGTTTCTTGACCTTGAGAGCTTATGCAGGCGGCGCTGGCGCTGACGCTGACACATCGCGGTTCTGACAGCCCTCTGGAAACAGTATTAATATGAGCCATGCTCTAAATTCG